TATGCAAAAAACCTCTATATGTAAGAGCTGTCTCTTATACACATCTAGATGTGTATAAGAGACAGTATATATATAATGTTTGTAAGTTCCACGTATGTCTTGATAGAAGTATAAAATAGGTACGAATGCACAAAATAGAGTCGTATACGTTGACATAATATTTCGAATATTTCGAGCAGGCCTGCTCTTCCTCCGCGATAATTACACATTATTAGATCACATTTAAAGGCATGGTCCCAAAATTAAATCAATCTGCATACAACATTGTTTTTTACTTTGAGGACTCATCAGTGCAGCGTAGATATTTGAAATTGAAGTTGAGCTATGGAATCAACAAGCTGCTTATGTTCAAGGCTGTGGATGTTTAACACTATACTCTCCATCATAATACGGCTCCTACAGTACGTATTGTCGGTGGTGCATGCATGTTGGCCACTAGAAGGCACACCTTGAGCTTTGGATATCGCATAAACGATCGACAGCAGCAGGAGAAAATTCATGAGATTTTATTGCCGACTCGGGGAAGTTAAATCGAATCTATAGAGCCACCAATCGTCACTGCATCAAACGTCCAAAAAAAAAAAAAAAAAAAAAAATTGCCGGTGGCCCCGGAACCAATCCTGACAGGAATAGAGTCGGCACCAGCGGGCGTAGTTTACACCCCCGTTCCGCAACCTTTTTAGCCCACGACCCAAATTATGTCAAGCAGTCTGACGCGACCCATCGAACCCGAAGTGAATATAACGTCGGTCGTTTTATACGCGCGAGGGATAGCGGGAAGAACCACCCATTTGATTCTTTTGTGAATTGATTAAAAGATATTATCACCCACAAAATCACTATGTAAAAGCCATAGAAATGAAAATATAACTTTGAATTACTCATTTAACAAAATCACGTAAGTTATCAAATTTTTCAATAAGTTTAATATTTTTAAAAATTAATGATTACCAGACCTTTTATTACAAATTCCTAGTGCTGACAGAGATTTATGGGTTATACGAAGACATAGATACATTACATTTAAAAAATGTTTTCTCGTTATAATTTGCAGCTGAAAGCCTAACACATTGAAATGAACAAAAATAATACTTTAAAGTTATCATACCTGGAATTACAAATGTTTTGATAGTATATTTTTATTACAAAACTGTGATAACGCACTCATAACAATTAGTAAACTGAAGCACTTGTGAGACATAAATTGCACTTTCGTTTACTATAATTTAATTTTGTTTGTCTTTGTTAGTGTTAAGTAAAGTTTTCACAATCTGAAGATATTATGCGACCCGTCAATTTTCTTTGCGACCCAAACATTGGGTCACGACCCATAGGCGGAACGGTGGTTTACATAATGCCAATACGACGGATGTTTAGCTCACATAGCCTGACGAAGTCATGTTGATAACATCAACGAAAGTAAGTTCACATCCATTGTGTTTGATTTATTAATAATTTATCTATATTATTATTATTTATCTATCTAATTATAATTATTGTTTCTTTATATATATATATATATATATATATATATATATATACATATATATATA